GGGGGCAAACAATGCGGATCCGGTCGTCGCAACGTTATCCAAAAACACACGATTCTTTGTTTGTGCATTAGTAATCTTTTGTTTGATTGTCTCTACTTTACAAATGCATCGCCTATTTATTTAGAGACGTGAACACTTGCCATGGAAATATATTCTGAGGGTGAAGTGTAAACGGTAAGTCGATCGCGCGCGGTGGGGTAAAATGTGGGTACGTCTGGCCAGCGGAGAAGAGATTAAGGGGCTGTCCATTAATGACGTCACGCACCTAGGGGTGGGGGGGGGGTCAGACATTTGTGACGATGTGTGACGAGGGGGGGGGGTTTGAGAAATGTGACGTCACATCAAAATGCGCAACTTTAAATAAATATAGACAACACGTTCTTCTTAATTAAATAGACTTTGTAATAAATGTTTTCTCCTACAACATCATAGTGCAGTGCCACATTAAATACGCACTACAATGACAATAGTTTCAAGCGATTTGAAGCATGTTTTTTTTTGGGGGGGGGGGGGCAAAGCTTTGTAACGTCATATTTGAGGGGCGGTCTGACTTTTTGTGACGCCGTGTGACGAGGCGGGAGGGGGTCAAAAATCGTCCAAAATCGCGTGACGTCATTTATGGACGGTCCCTAAGGCAAATGCTCTCCAGAGTGGCGGCTCTCTGGAGCCCCCTCCCCGCGTACGACCCTTCCACCAGCATTGGCGTGAGCTGGCAACTGCAGGGCTGCGCCGTTACCTTTGATTTAATCGTGTTTATGAACATGTAATTGTTTTTGTTTGAATCGAATAAAAGTTTGACTTGCTGTAATTTTTGCCTACATTCCTTCCAACTCTACTCTGTATCGTTCGCTGTGTTGTTGATACTTTGTTTCTAACCCGTGTTTCGTGTTTACAATCGATGACTTTCAGCCCTTTGTCATTCCGCTGATGGATGAAGCCCTCCCCACACTGTTACCAGTCATGGAGTCTGTCTGACCATACTTCACCACGCCGGGCGGTGTGGGTTGGTGAAGGGGTGGTGCCCAGGACCGGTTTCGGATATCGCCCGCCACGAACGTTAGCCGTGACCGGGAATCTAATTCGGGTTGCCGGGGTTCAAAGCGCAGCTCCCCACCCCAAAGCGGACGCTGCTCTACCTCTGAACGCTGCAAAGGCCTTGGCGGAAACGCGTTTCAAATTGTGGCCGCCGGAGGAGAGCGCTACTCTGGACTGTGGCGCTTGGATGTCTTAACTGTTTTGCGAGCGTTGACACGTCGGCACACGTCGGCATTAGCGCCCTGGTGCCGCCTCTTGTAAAAGTGGCGCCTTTGAAGCCATCGCCAGCCCGCCTCAGGCTTGTACGGGCAGAGTGGGGTGTGGGATTACAAAGCCACTTCGGTGAACGTGTGGCTATTTTCACGAGGGAATCGCGAACTCTGGTGGAGGATTAACATTCCATCTGCTGATCTCTTTATAATCTGCGCTATTAGGACACGGAGCATGTGATCTGGACCTATGGCTGAATATTGAGGAATGTTCAGGCATTTTTGGACTTGTGTGTACAGTAAATGCATAACGGGTAAAGGTGCATCCCTGCAGTTTTCTTCTCACGCCAATGCTGGCAGAAGGGCCTTCTGGACAAATATTTTGGAAGTGATGGGAGTACCCACATTGTATCCCACCACAGGTCACACGTGATCTGTGTGTTTTATATTCAGTATATAATAACGTGTCTGTTCTGCACGTAATCGGTTGACACTTGGGCAGTCCCGTTGGAACGTTATCACGTGCCGATCGGTTTGATCGTCACTCGGATTGAACTGGATTCTGCTATCGATTTTGACGACGTTGGGATAATCGATTCTGTCGATAATTGTTTTCACAAACGCTACTTCCACCACACTAGGCGCAAGTCAGTTTGGTGAAGGTGAGCGCCCTGGAACCGGTTCGGATTTCGCTCATCACCGTTGTTATCCATGGCCGGGAGTCGAACTCGGGAATCGGCGTTCCTAGCATGGTGTGCCATCGCTCTACCCACATTTATGCTAAAACAGAAATCATTCGCATTCACCGTCCTGAGTCTCTCCCGCGCCGCAATTGGAGGGATGCCATCGGAGGCGCGCGAGGCACGTCGCTGCAGCGATGCTGCGTACCGCGGCCTCCTGACCTTGCTCCGGCAATGCCCGTAGGCTTGTAGTGGGGATGATGAGTGGTGATTAAATCCATTCGCGGCTCTGCTCTCATGTGACCAGGCACATAAGTGAAATGTCTGACTCGGTTGTGGATGCCACATTTTGCTTAGTCCAGCAAGTTTGAAAGAGTTCTAAGTCTGTCGCCACGCCGGTCAGTGAGGATTCCGATGTCGCTCGGCTCGGATTTGTCGCCAGCTTCATAGTGCAGCGCACTCGCCGCTGCGCCACCGCTCGCCAACAGAAACCCATAGACGCATAATGACCTACAGAATCGCACAGTCTAATACAGAGGGTGTTTGTTCCCTATGTGCAGTGCGCTGTTCATTGCGTTGGAGCTTCGGAACCTGTTCGATACTCGTGTGCGAGGTGCGATACTGGGTCTTAAACGATGATGATGACCGTTCATCATAAGGATTCTCCAAAGGAGACCCAATGGGTATCAACGGAGTCCACGCACAAAACGGGGTCATTCGTCCAAGCGAGGCTTAGAACCACTATTGCAATGAGACGTTATAGTGGCAGTGTGAGGGGGTAGTAGGGGAGAGGTGGGGTGGCGTGGCAGTGTGAGGGGGTAGTAGGGGAGAGAGGGGGGCCGTGGCAGTGTGAGGGGGTAGTAGGGGAGAGGGGGGGGACCGTAGCAGCCCCTTGGCGTGAGCTCCCTTCCTGGAGTCGTTGATGCCTCTGCGTTATGCAACGACGGCGCGTTTGATGTGCACCCAGAGGAAGAAGCGAGGGGCCCCTCGAACAAACTCGCCAAGTGTTTGTGTCCCCCCCGCTGCTCCTCTTTCTTATGTAACCACATCCCGCCCCCCCCCCCCCCCCGCTACAATGCCGCCTCGAGCCCCGTAGGGGTCCGTGGGACCCCAGTGGTGAAATCCCCGCTCGGGATGTTTTGCCCCCTGTTTTACCTTTCCCTGGATTTATTTATGAATAGAATTTCTTCCGCCGCTGCGCAGGGGGCGGGGGATGAAGGGCTTTGTGTTGGATTGAGATAACGGCGGCGAGATAAACCTCGGTGCATTGTGCGGGCAAACGCGCGTGAACCTTCCATTGTAAATATCGGCGGCGCTAAAACATCAACGGAGGGCCCAGTGTCAAAGCGGGGTCGGCGACGGTGACCGCCGTCCGCGGGATCGCCCCTTCGCTTGCGACGGTGCGGTGCGTGACGCAGAGCCGTGCGCGCTCTCTCGCTGATGTTGTTGAATCGGGAGAGAACTCAGAGTGGCCAGGGGAGGTCTCGTTCATTTCCGGCAGTCGCATGCTGGGGCATTATCGTGGCTAGCAAAGGGCGATGATTGCTGCTCTGTGTGTACCGCATAATCCCAAGCGAGTACTTTGCAGGCAATAAATCAAAATTGTAAAATGTGCACCCAAGACATCGGCACACAATGGCCAACTCTTGCGACTGATGTCGGGGGATCTTTCACGTCCAGTCTTGAGCGGACAGCGTGTAGGATTTTAATGGCTAGTAGTGCCACAGCATCGCAGAGATAACCGAGGGCGGCTGCCAGATTCAAACCGCAAATCCCTGCAACAAGCAGCGAATACACCACTGCTGGGTTGTGTAGCCTCACCAGGGATAACAAGGATGCCTTAACCATCGAACAAAGACGGTTACTGCATTGCTCACTTACGGTTGTGCTTCTGTGGCCGTCTGGAACGCTCTTCCTTACGATATTAGGATAGCCACTGGAGCTATGCACTTTAAAATCTAAATTGGAAACTAATTTTTTCGAACTTTTGTGATTAGTTTGTTGTCCTTCGCCTGTACCTCTGATTAGCACGGCTGACTACATAAGGAGCGAAAGAAGTTCAACATACATACATCGGTTGACGGCCAATGATGAGCCGTGTTACGTGTACTTTACACGCACAGGCCCTTTAGGTCATGTGAGGATGTTATTTTTTGTGGTCTCGCTGACCTATTGGGGCGGGGGGGGGGGTTTGCCTGGTCATTGAGGGGTCAGGCGACTTGAGATCGCGTGACATTTTTCCCCGAAGCGCGCCCCGCTGTGCGTCCCGAGCTTGACCACATGACCCACGGTCGTAGTCTTGCACGCTGCCTTTCAACAAAGGAAACATGTTTTTGCGCTCTTTCCTGTACGGCGCGCTACAGACAGACGGCCACGCGGGCCGAGGGACGGTCAGCCACTGGAGAGGCCTAGCGGGTCCAAGAGGGTGGCAGTTTGCAACTGGGGACGAAAAATGGATACACAAGTGTTTGTTGAAATTTGTGTACACTGTGCAGTAAGCATTGTTGTGGTCGCACAGACTGGTTCCAGCCATCATAATGTGGAGTTTCCGCCAGTGGCTCTGGTCCAGCAGTGGAGATGAGCACTACTACCTCATGCTCGCTTGAGCATGAGACACTTTCTTCACCTGAGGACGGCTGCTTGCGTTGTGGCCGAAACGTCGTGAGAATTATTTTATTATGTTTAGTTTTTATTATTTTATTATTTCCCTTCTACGTGACTTTACCCAAAGAACCAAGAAGATGAATCCCTGCAGTCACAAAAGCTTTAAATCGAAATCTCTCTCTCTTTGTTGCTCTACACTATTATTGTTATTCTCATTATTATTACTTACGGCCCTTTGTCAACCCGTGACTGGATGAAAGCCTCCCCGTGTAGTCTCAGTCACGGGGGATGTTTTACCATACTTCACCACGCCGGTCAATGCGGGTTGGCGAAGGCTGAATAGCTGACCGCAGTTACTCAGGCCTACGCGGCACTCAAGCCTCCCCCGCCGCGCCCCACGGAGGAGCTCTGCTCACCAACTTACCCGTGCCGCCGCTGTCTCTTCCCACACCCCGATATTTGTGTCCTGCAGGTGACATCCCCTACCTGGAGTCGGAGAGCGTGTTTGACGGAACAAAAACGGACGTGGGCAGCATTGTGCTGGCTCTCTACAGCGGCCTCTTCGCTTACGGAGGATGGTGAGAGCCACAGTCACTATCCTACGCATCGTCCATCATCACCTGCAGCCATGATCAATACACTGATGGGTGAGAGCCTCCCCAAGCAGTCACTCTCTCCCACAATTCTGCGATGTGCTAATCCGCCCAGCGCCTGCTGCGTACAATAACTGATTTCATCGCTTCATCTCCTTGGGGGGCGTCCTTGCGCTGTCGGCTAGATGGTAATGGGGAGGAGGATGTGGGACCAAGATCAAACAAAGATCCGCGTAATGCAAAACACATCAGGCTAAGACAACAGTCATCATTCTTAATGTACGTAGAATAGGATGAGGATGGCGAATGTCTTACCTGTTGTTTATTGGTTAACGGTCTACCTGCAAAATGGCGTTTTGTGGTCCATGACCTTCGACAAGCGAGGAGCAGCTAATGGATTGAACCAGCACGCACCTGGGCAGCACGAATGAGCACGTTTGACCTGCGATCCGGATAATCTGCCCATGGATGAACGAGGGAAGCGCTCGGATATCTGATATTTGGGCAATCGAATACTCGAACGGATCATCAATTCGAATACTCGACTGGTTGGATAACACGGACGGGGTTGGGGGAAAAAAACGAATCTCAAATCTGTTGTCAAGTGCACCTCTGGACGGGATCCCTCCACGTTGCACTTATTCCGGCTCAGAGGAGTCATTTTCACGATGATGATGATGATTATCGCGTTGTCAGTTTTCCACCGCAAATTGATCATTGTGGTTCACGTTACATTTGTACATTTGTTCGCTTTGTTGTACTTCCAGTACCGATAGAGATCACCTTTTAAAGGTCTTGAAATGCAGTTTGCTCGGCAAAAGCCTGCCACGAGTCTTCTAATCATTGCGACTTTACAATCTACAACGCTTATAAACACTTGTGTTGTACGATGCACGATAGAAAAATAAATAAATCCATGATAAACATGATGATATCATGTAATGCTCATGCCTTAAATTGCTCCCAAAGCCATTTTGCAAAATACTAATTTAATCGGCAATGACTAGTTAATTAGAAGGTTAATTATTGCACTTATGGTATTCCATTAATATCTCTTTGGAAAATATAATTAGATAAAAAAAGAATGAGCAACGATAATCACGTGACAACGGTATTTTGTCAAACGGATGACACAAATATCACGGACCTTGCTTTATACGGCACGTATATATCGCCGTACCCCGGCAACACCGCTGACGCTGCAATGTGCATCGTGTACTCGTTTTACACGCAGTCGTAAACATGTCTTGTGCGGCACGTGTCCAGTGGGCGCACACAAGCGGGCGCACAGCAGCGGGCACACAGCAGCGGGCACACGGAATCCGCCGCCACGCGTTCCCATGATGCGTCATCGCGTGGCTGGCAGCGTCTCCCGCTCGCTCCGTTTCACGACAGTGCTCCCTTTGTACTCACGGCGGCGGCTGCATTGTGTTTCGAGCGTTCGTCACCAAGCGGACGAATCTTTAAGCATGCGTGAAATCGTTCGTGATGGCCCCTCTGCTCGCGCTCGTTTAATCTGCAGACGAGGTGACGTGACGGAGAGCCCAGCCGCCGTGCCGCTATTGCTGCGCTCGCGCGTTTTCCCATTCACGCGTGCGCCGCTGTTGTTGTGTTAGCGTTGCGCCCGGCACTCTGCCAGATGCGCGTCCTCATTAAGCCGTCGGGAATCAACCGTTGAGCGAGCGGCCCGGGCCTGATCGTATTGTTTAAAACGGCGTTGTGTCTCCATACTCAATCAAATGCTGGGGCGGCGGTGAGCTACCGATGAAAAACAAGCCACACAGTATTGCGGTTGTGCCCATGCAGCCTAAAACCACGGACCACACAGTTACACCACTGTAGTCTGCGCTAATTTTAACGGAGGAGGAGGAACAACAAAACAACATGAACTCTCACCTGAAGCCCTTTCGTCGTGGCCAGCAGCAGACCTCGACATCAGCAATTTAGCTGCTGAAGATATTCCTGACATACGCAAGACTAGAGCTGGTGAAAATTCCACATTCCCATGGTAGAGGCGATTCTTTCCATAGCAAAACCACTGCTGCCTATGCCACCAAGTGGCACAAATTTTATTGACCCCCGGTCTGATGAGTCGACGTGCAACTTGGAAATTAACTCGCGAATTTCCGATGGTGATCCAAGTGCTTGTATAACCACTTGGAATTTAACCATTACATTATTATTTCTTTAGAAACTCCTCGCCGAGTTTCCAAAACTTTTTTTTATTTTTTATTTTTTCCAGAGGTTCATTGGAAACGAGAGACACCCACGCGCGCATTGCAAGGGCTGTGGGGACGAGTCAGTGAACCCGTTTGCTCGACTGCCATCTCCTGGCCATTTTGCCGCCCAGCCACGGTCGGAATGCTACAACCCACGGGGAAGTTGTAACAAGATCAGAGGTCGCAACCGGGTACCCGATACCCGTACCCTACCCGATACCCGGCTACCCGTACCCGGCCGGGTACGGGTACCCGTTTGCGACCCTGGTGCGGCCGGGTACGGGTACGGGTAGACCGTGAGTCACTGGTAAGTAACTGTCACTCATTTCCCAACGTCTTGTCTCTTCTCACAATTCAAGTTCCTAGAATCAACCCGCCCGTGACTGCAACATGGCTTCATCCCAGAGGTCGCAATCGGGTACCCGTACCCTCCCCGATACTCGGCCGGGTATGGGTAGCCGGGTATCGGGTAGGGTACGGGTATCGGGCACCCGATTGCGACCCTGGTGCGGCCGGGTACGGGTACGGGTAAGGAATAAAAACCCGTTTGCGACCTCTGAACAAGATCCTCGCTCTGCAAACCAACCTTTCTGAGGGGAGATCCAGACAGTGTGCGTTTTGGGAGGCCGTTTCATTCTCCCGCAACGCATAGGACCGCACGCACGGTCTTCCGTGATTCATTTTTATTTATTTACATTTTTTGTAATAGTATATATGTTGTGTTGTCTCTTAAACTGTAATTCTTAAATATGTTATTGTTAGTTTTAACGTCAAGGTTAGAAACACTTATTCTGCTTAATTTTTCCCAATCTTGGCTCGCTGGCTCGAACAACTTAATAAACAACAAACCGCTCCATTCCGGCTGCCTCATCCCCTTCTCCCAGCCCTTTTCTACCTTTCTCCTCACCTCCTCCGTCCTCCACCAATCGCCTTCGCTTCCCTAACGACGCCTCATTTACATCTTCCCCCCCCCCACCCCGGGCTGTATCAAATCACTTCCTCTGCCTGCCAATCCAATACGAGTGTTTCACAACCCTCCGATCAGATTGCATGCTTGACACATGAGCGCCCCCATGTGACAGCTCGTCAATGGGAAGCGACGACCTCAACTTTAATCCACAAAGCCATTCTGCTCGGGCGGGCGGTGTGAATGTTCATCATCTACTTGTCACAGGGCTTGCCCCTCGGCGTCCCTTACATTTGCGAGGATTGCCCCATCCAGAAGTATTTCCATACCGCACGGAATTTGTGCCCCAGACGATGCTTTAAATATTGATGTGGGCTGCGTTAAAAGTAGTTTAAAGTAGCCGTGAATTTATGGCCACCTTGGAAAATATTTAGACCAAGCCTGCCCTCGTGTTGACAGGGTTTGTTACTGTCTATAAATGTTTAACTGAGGCGGTTGCCTTGATGTGTATCTATCTCTGTTATGAAAACACAATATGATTTGTATTATGAGCCGCTCACTTAAATTGATGCATGCCTAGCGGCACGAGTGAAAGTGGTGTGACAGTGCGAGCGGGGAAAACATCATCGCTTCAGTTACTGGATCGGCCACATTCCACAGACGACTTCACCAGTCCTATATCCATCTCTCTCCGGCTTTTATCTTCTCGTGATCCCACCTCTGTGGCTGTGGCTTTGGGAAGTTACTTGCTTTCACACCCTGGGCTGAAATTACAAAGGGACAACCGGATGTCCCCCCGGCCGGCGCGTGACAACGTGCGTTCAGCGAAGTGCAGCTCAAATTGCCCGTCCCAATTCAGTGAATTGTTTTGCTTTTGTGTTCGCTCGTCATAACGCGGTCTAGAACAACAGTTTCACTTTGTATGCATTAGTTGTCATTTACTGCAAATTGTGACCAATAGTTTTTTTTATTCCATATGTCTTTGCTAAAAGATTCGCTGAGACGTGGCTTAAATGTGTAAACCGCTGAAGGAAGAGTCCACAAAGGCAGCCGTGTCCTTGGGAGGGTTCGTGAGCTCGGCTCATGAACGTTGTCTTGCAGATGTTGCACCAAAGATGGTCGTCGTGAATGCCTCGCGGAACAAACGCCGAAAATGACATGAATGCAGAGAGATGCATTCTGGGAATTTATGCCGAGAGGCAAAGAGTAACGCATGGATCGGAGAACAAAGTGAAATGAGAGACAAACTATTGACTGTTGAGCAAAATGGACTTGGACAGGGTGCACGTCCCTGAAAGGGCGATGGTCATTGGTCAAGATTAATGATGGAATAGTAGCCAAAGAAAGGAAACGCACCTGAAATACTAACGTCCAGCACGGAGATGGAGGGATGAAATCAGATTGGGTGCAAGAGCTAGTTGGTGTCGCAAGAACGTGAGACATGGTGGGGACTTGGGGAGGCCTTTATCCAGCAGTGGCTAGATCGTGGCTGATTAGCTATAGCAGGGGTCGGGAACCTTTTTGACTGGGAGAGCCATAAAAGCCAAATATTTCTAAATCTAATAATTGGTTCTTTACCCTTCTATCTGGCAACAAAACTGACACCTTTTTGCAAGGAGTCATGTTTGCATAGACCGCAATACCTGCAGTCATAAATACAAACAAAAGACATAACTCTGATAATGTGCACTGTCCTTGAAGTTGATTGGTCCACACCCGAGACAGCTTTCCTTCGAGCCTAGTCTCATATGGGTTGGACCAGATGACGCCAAAAGGCGCACAACTCAAGGACAATGCACCATCAGAGTATGAGAGCTCGGGGCAAGCATCTACACTATGGGGACCTCATTTGCCAGTAAAAATATGATAATTGGTTCTTTACCCTTCTATCTGGCAACATCTGGTCCAACCCATATGAGACTAGGCTCGAAGGAAAGCTGTCTCGGGTGTGGACCAATCAACTTCAGGGACAGTGCACATTATCAGAGTTATGTCTTTTGTTTGTATTTATGACTGCAGGTATTGCGGTCTATGCAAACATGACTCCTTGCAAAAAGGTGTCAGTTTTGTTGCCAGATAGAAGGGTAAAGAACCAATTATCATATTTTTACTGGCAAATGAGGTCCCCATAGTGTAGATGCTTGCCCCGAGCTCTCATACTCTGATGGTGCATTGTCCTTGAGTTGTGCGCCTTTTGGCGTCATCTGGTCCAACCCATATGAGACTAGGCTCGAAGGAAAGCTGTCTCGGGTGTGGACCAATCAACTTCAGGGACAGTGCACATTATCAGAGTTATGTCTTTTGTTTGTATTTATGACTGCAGGTATTGCGGTCTATGCAAACATGACTCCTTGCAAAAAGGTGTCAGTTTTGTTGCCAGATAGAAGGGTAAAGAACCAATTATCATATTTTTACTGGCAAATGAGGTCCCCATAGTGTAGATGCTTGCCCCGAGCTCTCATACTCTGATGGTGCATTGTCCTTGAGTTGTGCGCCTTTTGGCGTCATCTGGTCCAACCCATATGAGACTAGGCTCGAAGGAAAGCTGTCTCGGGTGTGGACCAATCAACTTCAGGGACAGTGCACATTATCAGAGTTATGTCTTTTGTTTGTATTTATGACTGCAGGTATTGCGGTCTATGCAAACATGACTCCTTGCAAAAAGGTGTCAGTTTTGTTGCCAGATAGAAGGGTAAAGAACCAATTATCATATTTTTACTGGCAAATGAGGTCCCCATAGTGTAGATTTCTAAATCTATTTCATTGACAGCCATATAGTATTTTTAACGTATAATAAATTAAATTGTCTTACTTTTAATGCGACTTCTGGTCACGGGACCCGTGACCCGAGAAATGTTATCTTCAAAACTAATTTCTGTTTATTTTAAAATGACACAGTATTATTAAGCAATATCACAAGTTCCAAACTGATTTTATTATTATTTTATTATTATTATTTTTTTCAACTCAAAATTGTCTGGGAGCCATATGCCGTCACCGGAAGAGCCATATATGGCTCGCTAGCCATAGGTTCCCGACCGCTGAGCTATAGGAAGCAATTGCCTCGAGTGAGATGAGCTCTACTGAAGGATGGCGGTACGGACTCGTGAGCAACGTTGACGATGGTTTTTATATGGGATGGACGATTGCGTTCCTCAAGCTACTGTGCGAGTTCAGTGCCTCCCCAGGAAGAACTTATCGTGTACAGTTTGCAGTCGTTTTTATTAACCCCAGGTCAAAAAATTCCTTTCTACTAACAGTTTTCAATGAAATGACAACAAACACAGTTGACAAGGAAATGTGTAATTATTTATCTTTTGTTGGGAAAACTTATGGTGAATGTTAATAGGCTGTGTTCTTGTTAAATACAGGGCGTTAATTTGTCTATGCATCTGAATATATGTGTGGTTAATCTCGGATAACCTATAGTCGGTCTCTCCCGTGACCTCCAACAAACCAGCCTTCGACACTTCACGTGGCTTCAAAATGCACCATGGGGTGTGGTGACATCACCGCCACTCAATGTGAACGGCAGCTTTTGTTGTTAGAGTATTATAACCACGCAGAAACGTGCATGAACGCTCGTTAATTGTCTGTAACCATCTTAATATATAGGGGACTGCAGAGCTTGAGGAAATGTTGGTACAGGCCTGCTGACCTCCCAGCTCTTCTGTGGTTCCTCGGCGACTGTGAGGTGCAGTCTGCACGAACGAAAGACTCCGCGCTATGAAACTAAACGTGATCGTCAACATTACTATACCCTGTTGTTTGCGTGTAACGTGATCGTCAACAGTATTATATCGTGTTGTTTGCGTTTGTGAGTGGCCAGCTAGCCTGGTGCATCGATCACCGCACTTACCACGGGGTGGCGTGTGTTTCCTCTCTAGGAATTACTTGAATTTTGTCACCGAAGAGATGATTGAGCCCTTCAAGTAAGTGGGCGCTATCCACGTTCCGCCAACACAACAGGCTTCCGTCGATACCCAAGCCGATGGAGCTTTTTAAAAACTCTGACTTACCAACTGATATCGTGCACCGCATCGTAGCTTGATCGAAATATCGACAGATGGAACTCAATTGTCAGGCTGTCTGCTCTCATGAATGTTAATTGCTCAACTATCAGCTGCTGTCGTCTTATCGGCGAGGCCGTATCTATGACCATGGTCAAGCATGTTCAGCCCGTGCCTGTGTTTAACCAACACCTTGCAGCGCATAACTCGTAACTTCCTCTCTTCCGCGTTCTCTTTTCTCTGCTCGTCTGTGGAACTCCCTCCCATTGTGTCCTCGAGTTCATGTTGTAAGGTAAAGAAAGGTAATGCCCTTGAGCGTACTCGCTTGCGCCACTGATAGCAAAAGGGCCTCCGCTAGAGGGAGGTCTCGAGGCTATTTAGGCCCCACTCGTCAACTGAGGTGGGAGCATGCATGTTTGTTAAACTTCTTTCGCACCGTACGTAGTCAACCGTGCCGATCGGAGGTATCATTTCTGGCCGTGTCGCTTCTGAAAAAGAGCTATACAGCTCGTTGGGCCTTACCAGGTAAAATAAAAATAGTGGTGGGAGTACACACACTTTACCCCACCACACGCGACCTGCCGATAGACTAACTCCAGTTGTACCCATTTTTAGAGCTGGGTCGACGGTGGCGAGGTTTTTTGCGAAAGTTCCACCGTTATTTCAACTGCCACACCTTGCTAAAAATGTAACCGGCAACCTCTGGATTGCAGATCCAGGTTTTAAAGCCCCGAACGCACCACTTTAGACAATCGCTGCAGCTCTCCCCTCTCCTGGAGCTGCGAGATGTTCTTCTTCCCATGGCTATGGGCCGCGGTGGCGAGATGTTAACTACGTCGCCTGGTATACAGGAGGTCGTGGGTTCGATCCCGACACTATTTGGAGTTTGCATGTCTCCTCTCCTCGTGGTCGCGTGGATTTTTCTCCGGGTCCTCCGGTTTTTCCCTCCACATCTCGAGTCAACGTGCGTTTTGGGGTATATTTGGCTGCTATACATTTCCACGCGATGATGATAAGTCACTTTGTTGAGCCATCATTTTGTCGCCAGGTCGCTTCTGACAAAGATCTCAGTGGGCCTTACCTAAATAAAAATAGTTTAGTTTATGTTGTGGCTTACAGGTGGCGAGCTGAGGTCACCACCCCCCCGGTTTCCCTGACGACTCGTGTGCCCCCCCCTCCCACACAGAAACCTTCCCCGAGCCATCATCATCTCGCTGCCCATCGTCACCATCGTCTACGTGCTCACCAACCTGGCGTACTTCACCACGCTGTCCCCTCAGAGCATGCTGGAGTCCCAGGCCGTCGCAGTGGTGAGCCCATTTAACCAGCTGGCCCGTTTCTGTTACTTTCTTCCCCCCCACCCCATATATACACACAAACACACTGTGTGTACGTACGGACAATCCACTGCTGGATGTGGGTCTCCCGGTCCCCAGTACGTGCCATGGGGTATTTGACCGTACACCGATAGGTGCGAGTTCGTGAAGATGGGGAGCGTAGAAGAACAGTACAGCAATTGATTTTTGCTGCAACCCTGCCCCCTGCTGCCCTCGGCGTAGGCCCGCAGCAGCCTACCCCGCCTCTATTTATTAAATCCTTTATATTAAGTTCGCTTGCTTGCTTGCTTGCTTGCGACCGTGCAAATCTTTCGGTCGTTTTTTAACACACTTCCCGTGATCCAATCGAGCTGACATTTTCCACACAGACTCGTTGTGCGTGACAATTCATTTTCGTGAAAAAATGTTTCCAAAATTGTACACTGTTTAGGGAAATTTTTTTAAATACTTAATTACCAATTGCTTAATGCTGGCAGACAATCATCTGACCCATAAGTGGCAGCCATCTCAAGCCAGAGGACGAGAGGACTCTAGCCGCCACGCATTAAAAGGATTTAGAGTGAAAAACTTTGTTTTCATCGGTAAATTTTTTCATCTCGAGTTCCCATTCTTCTAGCACTTTCCTGTGTGCAGCGTCGCCCCCGGCTGCAACAGCCACAGCTCCTGAGAGTCTCGCTTCTCCGTCAGACCTTTTTCATATGTGGGGTGTTTACTGTGTTAATGAATACTGAATAACAAGACTATTCAGGTGTTTTGTCAATCCACTGCTGGATGGATGACCTCCAACAATCGTGTAATCCATCCGGGTTGGTGGAGGGAGGGCTCAGGACTGGTTCAGATAGCACTCGCCGCTGATGTTCGTCTTGGCCAAGAATCAAACTCGGGTGGGCTGGGTTCACTGTGTAGTGTGCTAACCACTGCACATGGAACTTCTTGATATGAGGTCTGTCCGTCTATTGACACAATTTTATTTGGCCATGATAGGTAGGAGGACTACCTTTGTTTAATTCATACTGTAAAGTATTGCGATGCCCTCTTTTAGTGGGGGCGAGTTTTTAGTCGCGAAATAATTTTAATGAATGATGTGTCATCGGTACTTGCTTAAATCTTGAGTCACATGAATCCAGCACTGTGGAGGCAGCGAGGGTCGGTGGATGACCACACAGATGTTGTTGTGAAACGCCCTTCCTATGGGCGTCAAGGAGGTGTGCCATATACTGGTTCTCCAGGATAAGTCGGTACAGCAAGTGGACTAATTGCCATAATTTTTCATCCGTTTGGGGATAGTGTTATATGTATGTATGTTGATCTTCTTTCGCACCGTACGTAGCCAACCGTGCTGATCTGTGTTTCTGTGATTCGCAATGGCGCCGTGCTGATTGGTTCTCTGCGTGCCCAGGACTTTGGGAACTATCACCTGGGTGTGATGTCCTGGATCATTCCCGTGTTCGTCAGCCTTTCCTGCTTCGGCTCCGTCAATGGGTCCCTCTTCACCTCCTCCAGGTGCAACAGACCCCCCCCCCCCCTCTACTCCTAATGCCAGTGTTACAATAAATAAAATAACCCTGTGCGTCCTGGAATTTGGGCCACCCTCTACATCTGAACCGCCGTGTCTGTCTGCCCGCCGTTCGCTGCGCCGTGCCATGCAGGTTGTTCTTTGTGGGCGCTCGGGAAGGGCACCTGCCCAACTTGCTCTCAATGATCCACCGGCGCCTCTTCACTCCGGTGCCTTCCCTCCTCTTCACGGTACCTGCAGCACCCTCCATACTCCTTAGAACAAAGATTCACCCCCCCCGACCCCTGTATAATCTTATCAGAACTGTTGGGGAAAGTTCTGTTAGCGGGCGCCTAATGAAGGCCGGTACGGCACACGTGGGTGAGAGTGGCCAGCACCACGCCCGGCCTCCTCCATCTCCCCAGTGGCGATGTTTACTACACTCCGAACCAGTTACTTATTTCAGGCCGAGTTGACCTAGGGGAGGCCCTATGCACTTTCCTTCCAGCATCTCACTCACTCATCCATCCACCCACCCACCACCCATTCACCCACCAGCAATCTCGATCATTCACCATCCACCAGAAAATTACTCACCAACTTACCTACTCACCCACCTACCCACCAATGTCTCAACCATTCACCCACACACCGGCATCTCATATTCACTCATGTACTCAACCACCCAAACACGACGAATGGGACGATACCTGTTTTTCTACTGCACAACCGAGCCAAGCCGGGACCGTGCCGAGACCAAGCCCGGCATGACTCGGGAGGCGCTAGATTGTTTTTCCATTGTGCAACGTGAGCCGTGCCGCTGACGTCATACGCAGCAAACTCACGACGAACAAGGGGTTCACCCTGCCCTCTGGCGCTGCTCCACTCCGAGCCACATTTAGTTGCGAGGCCAGAGTTGCACGGTCTGGTTCTGACTCGGCTCAGCAGATGGCCAGTGGGAAAACCCCATGATAGGTACATGCGACGCACACGCCAGTGTGATTCGCATGTGCCGGTGGAAAAAGGGAGCGTTATCCGACTGTGTTTAGAACAGGCAGGGCCGTATTATCCAATAGGCACTGTGCCTACGCCAATTATTCAATAGGCACAATAGGCCTGTTAGGCACAAATACGCCTATTACCCAATAGGCACTGTGCCTAGGGCCTACGGAAACTAAAGGGCCTGCAATAAAAACATGTAACCAATATATCTTCTTGAATAAATATATTTATATAGCAAGGATAGGCACAGTGTTTCAAATTAAATCTGCTTTTCTGCGGCACACAGCATGCTCCCACCGAATTAGGGCACAGCAGACTAAATGCTGAACGTATCGGTAACGACATATGTGTAGCGGCTGGACGAAGTACGCGTGAAACAAGCGAGGGACGGCGGCTTTAGTAACATGGGCAGTACCAACTGTACAAAGTTATCACTGAAGGCCTACGAAACAGAAGTGCGCATAGAGCCTTACAATAACCTTAATCCGGCCCGGGGAACAGGTGGGCAAACGCACGCCGTGGAAAACCCCAAGTCGCTCATGCCCACCCACCCGCCCTCCACTCCCGCTTCCCCCAGTGCCTCATGACGCTGCTCTACGCCATCTCGGATGACATCTTCTCCGTCATCAACTTCTTCAGCTTCTTCAACTGGCTGTGCATCGCCATGGCCATCTGCGGCATGATGTGGCTGCGCTACAAGGAGCCGCTGAGACCTAGGCCCATCAAGGTGAGCGACTCCACCGTACCGCTTCGCACCGCGATTTCGGTTTCCTATAACTGGGCAATTGTACCATTGGAACCTCATTTGCCAGTAAAAAATATAATTGTTTTTTTACCCTCTTATCTGGCAACAAAACTGACACCTTTTTTACAAGGAGTCATGTTTGCATAGGTAAAAAACCAATTATATTTTTTACTGGCAAATGAGGTTTCAATGGTGTAAATGCTTACCCCGAGCTCTCATACTCTGATGGTGCATTGTCTTTGAGTTGTGCGCCTTTTGGTGTCATGTGGTCCAACACCATGTGAGACTAGGCTCTAAGGAAAGCTGTCTCGGGTGTGGACCAATCAACTTTAAGGACGGTGCATACATTATCAGAGTTTTATGTTTTTTGTTTGCATTATGACTGCAGGTATTGTGGTCTATGCAAACATGACTCCTTGTAAAAAAAGGTGTCAGTTTTGTTGCCAGATAAAGGGGTAAAAAAACAATTATCATGGGCAATTGTATTTCGCATGTTTAATAATGCATTCTTGTAAGTGTGTTGAACTGCAGTTCACTCGGCCTGCTGTAAATGAATATAATCGTGGCAACTTTACAATCTATAATTCTTATAATGTCTCTGGCCATGATGGTGTTGTATGACCGCTATGTCGTCTGTGACGCCGGTAACGTTTTGCAAAGCATCGACTTGGGCAATGGCTATGTATTTAGAACAGTTGATCCTCGTGCTTGTTATTTCATGATGTAATTTTGGGAAAATAACACGTACATAAACGTGTGATGTTAATCACAGATTTTATATTTTGCACTCGGGACATTACGATTATCGTGGACATTGTCTCGTACGATATATCGTGGAGAATCTCCACATTGTGGTACTACCCTGTCGTGCAGCGTCTTGGGTGCGGGGTTTGTAGCTCACGCAGAGATGCAGCCTGCGTGGCACAAGATAAAGATCCCCCGTATAGCCTTCACAGGCTCTAGGGACAAGTTCTGTTAGCGAGTAGCACCTGTGAAGGCCGGCACGGCCTCACAGGGTGGGTAGCCAACACCACGCCCGGCCTCTACCGAGTGGCGATGTTTACACACCGCACCAGAGGCCGAGTCGACCTAGGGGAGGCCCAAGACCGCTTCATATAATCGTGAGCGGGAATTGAATTCGGGTCGCTCCCCACTGCCGCAGCCTGCGCGAGGCCTCCCCTCGCATGCAGCTCAACAAGGCAGCTGCAGGAGGCAGTTCAGCAAGTAGGTTCACGGTCTCCTCCATCCCAATCGATTTGTCCTCTCGGCTCTATCTGTGCCCCCCCCCCCCCCCCCCCGTGGCGTGGCAGGTGAACATCCTGCTGCCCATCTCGTTCGTGCTGGCGTGCATCTTCCTCATCGTCGTGTCCGTGGTGGTGACGCCGGTCGAGTGCGGCATCGGCCTCGCCATCATCCTCACCGGGATCCCTGTCTACTTCGTGGGCGTGCGGTGGCAGAACAAGCCGCCCTCGCTGCTCAACCTCATCAGTGCGTGGCCTCCCCCCCCCCCTCACCAGTCACGGGGGGCACCAGCAGCTGCCACACCCACGGGGCCATGGGAGATCCGTCTTGCTTGCCCTACGATTGCGCTTGTTGAGCCATGGAAGCCTCGCCGAGTCTCAAGACTCGTTTGCACTGAGCGTCCTGCCAAGTTGTTCGCAGTAGGGGTGGGGGGGGGGCAGCATGGCTGCTGCTGCTTGTGATCCCATTGGTCGCCACGGTGACGAGACATTAATTACCTTGCTGGTGTACAGGATGCCGTGGTTTCGATTCCGCCCCTGACGCCCGCTGTATATTTGCAGCTTGCATGTTCTCTTTTCTTGTGGTCGCGTGGATTTTTCTCCGGGTCCTCCGGTTTTTCCCTCATTTAGAAACACGCGTTTAAGAAAATCTGGCTGCTATACATTTCCACCTGATGAGCCACTTCATTGGGCTCTCATTTGTGGGTCAGGTCGCTTCTGAAAAAGAGCTATTTCACTCAGTGGGTCTGACCTGGTGAAATAGAAATAAATTTTTATTTAAAGCTTTCATGACTGCAGGGATTTCATCTTCTTGGTTCTTTCGGTAAAGTCACGTAGAATGGAAATATTAAAATAATAAAACAATGTATATTATCTTACTATGTTTTATTTTTATTAGTTTATTATTTCCATTCTACATGACTTTACCGAAAGAACCAAGAAGATGAAATAGAAATAGTTTAGTTTTAATACTCTCTGGTTCTTTCGGTAAAGTCACGTGGAAAGAAAATAAATTAAATAATAGAATACGACGTTTCTATTGCAACACAAGCAACCATCATCAGGTAAGAATGAATGAGAAAACAAACATAGTAAACTTAGAAATAGCAATCTTTGGAAGAACGTAATCAAGCAGGTAGGGTGTTGACTGTTGTGTTAGACGGACTCTGTGTTGTATTGCATTATATTTCTAAGTTTACTATGTTTGTTTTCTCATTCATTCTTACCTGATGATGGTTGCTTGTGCTGTAATCGAAACGTCGTATTCTATTATTATTTAATTTATTTTCTTTCCACGTGACTTTACCGAAAGAACCAAAGAGTAATTCCTGCAGTCACGAAAGCTTTGAATCTAGTTTTAATAGTTTAAGTTGTATGTATGTACGTTGAACTTCTTTCGCTGTGCTAATCGGCCGTGATCCCAGTTGAGTAAATTGCAGGTAACTTCTAAGCATCTTCTTGGTTCTTTCGGTAAAGTCACGTAGAAGGGAAATAATATTATTTATCTACGTGACTTTACCAAAAGAACCAAGAAGATGAATCCCTGCAGTCACGAAAGCTTTAAATCGAAACTTCTAAGCAGTGAGGTGTTTGGCCGATGCTGGTTACATGCACTGTGTGTGTGTGTGTGCTGGGGAGCAGCGGCACAGCGGTTAGCGCGCTGCGCTACGAACTCGGCGACCCGAGTTGGATTCTCGCCCATGGCCAATATCGGTGACGATTATCTTTAACCGGTTCTGGGCCTCCCCTAGGTCGACTCGCCCTCAAATGAGTACCTGGTGCGGTGTGTAAAATCATCGCCACTGGGGAGACCAAGGTGGCCAGGGCGTGGTGCTGGCCACCCCAGCCCCTCGTGCGCTGTGTCGGCGTTCATAGCTGCTCGCTAACAGCACTTGCCCCAACAGTATGTTAAGGCTATTCGGGGATCTTTGTCTTTGTGTTAGCTGGGGGGGATGGCCAGCAGGGGGGTGTGCAGCAGGGGGCCCTTGGGGTGGTGGGTGGGGTACAGCTCGAGGTTTTCCATTGGCTATTTACCGAGCCTGAAGAAGCTCCTAGCGCGTGGATCGAAACGTCGGGCACCGTGCCGAAACAACCCGCGAAAGCACGGCGGAGAGATCTACCCGACACAGCCGCGAGGTCCCGCGCCATGCGTGGGAGGAGTTGTGTTTCACCCGCTTGGTGGGAGACAAGATGAGGGGCGGGTTCGCTGTTGCAGTGCCACTGCTTCAAGATGAATGTGGTCACGAGTGGAGTGCTCCCTTTCTCTTGCAGGTTCCATGACGATCCTCTCGCAGAAGGTTCTGGAAGTGATCCCGCAAGAGTCGTGACCCTTCTTGCCCCAGCGATGCCGAAACCTCTCTACAGAAAAACCACATTCTCTACTGCGTTTGGGAGGGGGGGAGGGTTAGGGGGGGGTTGCCAATTTGTTACCAGACTTGATTTGGAAATGTTTTGCTCTTACACACCCATACAAACAGAAACGTCTGTGCCACACACTCCATCAAACATTTGCCGCTTATTAAGTTCTCTTAGCTGTCCATGTGAGAAAGTATTCGGCAGGAGGCCTTCGAAGCTCTGTTTTTCTTCGAGCCATATTACACGCCAACGTTACAAATCTCATCAACTCGTTCTTGTGGACACTTATTTTTTTTTAAACGACTAATTTATTACTGTACTTCATTCCCTTTTTTTTGCATTTACATCTCTAGTGTGTTTTTTGTGTGCCAGCAAAAGTCCTTAAGACACTGTTTACATAGAGTCGTGAAACGGAGACACCGCGAGTGTCGGTTCAGCCTCGACCACAATATGAATTCACGTGGGGAACAAGGAGAGCTCTTTCGCGTATTCCTAAAAGCCGAGTATTTTGCAGCAGCCGTTGCGCACAATTCGTCTCTCACAGCCAATGGTAGTTGCAGAAAAGCGACCCCCCCCCCCCCACGCGTCCCAAAGCATTTACAAATATCGGGAAGTTTTGTCCTCGTTTCAAACTTTCCAGCCTTCACCCTCGACTTGTCTGTTACGGGCACAGTCCAGAGGGCCTGGCTGCCTGCCTGGTGGGGAAGGGTCTGGCAAAGACCAAGCGGGGCCTGTGAGCAGTGGGCAGGTCCAACGTGAGCGAGCGAGAGCAGGAGGAGGGAGGCCGCCGCCGCTCACTGTGTGGGCAGTGCTAGTGGTGGAGTGGGTGTGGCTTCGTGAGTGGGCGGGGCTGGAAAGGGGCCGTCCAGGTCGCCTGCAGCAGCCGCCACGTGTCCCGGTTAAGCCCCACAGGAAGTTTGGTGGCCATGCGCAAGCAGAAAATGGGTCCTGAAAATTTGCAGCGTTTTATAACTACGGCTGCCGTTGTACGTGGCTGTTATTTCTGGAGCTATTTTTTTCCTCTCCCCGTGCGTTTAAAAAGAAGGCTATTTTAAATGGCGACGTGAAAAGGCCGGAAAGTGTTTGTCCCATGAGTTTTTGTACACTTTAATGCATACACGTAAGGAAATGTGTCATTTGTAAAAGCAATTAATTTGTGATTGAAGTCATACTTTATTTAAAAGAGTTGTGGGCGGCATTACGAAAGACTGAGGCCGTTGATACTTTTAGAAAAGTGACATGTGCTATTGGGTGCAAACATTCCCAAAGGAGCTTGCATAACAACGACTGAACATCTAGTAAAAAAGAGCTCATGGATTCCTCCAGTCTGAAGATTCTGACTATGGTGAAGTATGTTTAATGTGTGACCACATCCATTGTGCACGTTGACGAATGTACACATGAAACCGAATAAAACAATACACTTACGAGTCTCTTGCATACGTTTCTTTGAGAGCTAACACGAAATATATTTTAATCAGGTCAAGCTGCAGCTCTGCAATTTCACACGCCAATGGCTCGATGGTATTTGGCCTACTCTTCCACACTGGCCAGAGTTTTCGTGGAAGAGGTGTGGGTACCCACACTTTGCCCCCACCACAATTGACCTGCCTGTCGATCGACTCGCTGCAATTTTTGATGCGTAATCAGTGAGGCCTTTTGGCTGAGCTCTGCTCGATGAAATGAACACGTATTTTACAATCCAAAGTCACACTGGAGAGAGATGTAATTATCCCTTGAACGGTGACCAACATCTTGGCCTCCCAAAAGGTCGCGTCGGCCCTCGGCCATGGTTTGACTCGCATGCTCCGAGCTGCGAGTCCAACGCTCCCATCAAGTTGCCACCTGGCTTCACGGGTAGCTCGGATGACGGTGATATTTGAAACGGCGCGCATACTTTACTAATAAAAAAAACACATCACAACCCGATCTAGCCGGGTCGTGACATTGTTTCACACGCACGCGGCACGTATTGGCGGTTCTTCACACACTGACGTGGCCTCGACTCATCATTAGCCGTGAACTGGAATGACCATTTCACGAGAGACAGAAATAGCAGAGGGCCAGTTTGAGACTGGTCCAAAGCTGAGCACTTCTGAGAGGGAGAAATGAGCTATTTCTCGTTCGCGGCGATCCGCCTCGGACACGGAATGTCTTCTCGCGTCGTGCTGGCAATGCTGGCTGTGTTTGTGTGTGTGTGAATGTTAATTCACCACGCCGGAATACCGATGTGCCATACCTCTCTCGAAACGCGAGCGTTTGAACCGACGCAGTATGAGATTCCATATCCGATAAGATGAACAATTTTGGAACATTGGGTACAACATTTTACGCGGTGTAATTCGTTGGAAGGCTGAATTTGGGAGCTGTTTCCATGCGGTGCTTGTATAAGTGTAATTGCCTCTTCTTTAGGCACACAAATAGACAATCTCGTGATTGTAGTCATTAGCACGACTTAATCGGGAAATGAATAGCTAAATCTGTAAATGATGAGCAAGTTCCATCATCGCAAAGTAACAGTGCAGGCTGCTGGAAACCCGTAGGTTTAAATCTACACACGACAGCACATTATGCAAAAACCATGAGCAGTTCGTGAAGAAGTGCATTGTGGTCTTTTTTTAAATCTTCGACTACGTGAAGGGTCGGGCGAAACCGGGCTGGGATTTTAATTCGCGATCCCTTGACTTTGAGAGCCCAAGCGATCTAACGCGACTGCACACAATTAAAATCAGGAGGTAATAACACTAGCAACACATATTTGTCACTCCGCATTAGAAATGCCAAAAAAATCGTCCCATCAGCTTTCTTGGAATGCACAATTTCAGCAACAAGGAAACACTGGACCGGTTTGACATCCAGTGTCTCATCAGCAGTCCGGCTCGCCTGAAACCAATGCTGGTGAACTGCCTAAATGTTTATAGGCAAGGACACTGTTAGATGTGGATCCTAGTTCGACGAAAACATGGAGAATACATAACACAAAATAATTTCCCAGAAGGCCATGTGGCTGATAGGATGTGTAAAAAAATATATGTACTGTCTACGTGTCTCTTCATCACAATCATCAAATCATCAGCAGCATCTATCCGTAAATCATCAGCGTCACACGTGGTTTTGTCGTCGGGGTTTCTGAACTAACAACAACTGAAGTCGACAAGCGCAACTGGGCTGTCGCTTTGAAGTGCCCAGAACGACAATGGCACTTTAGTTATACTCTTAGTTTGTTCGGTAAATTCACGTAGGTAAAAAAAATGAAATTAAAATCAATAAAAATCACGACGTTTCGGAGGCAACACAAGTCTCCGTCATCAGGTGGGACCGTCACAGCCAGATTTGCTGTATCACTTGATAACGAAGACTTGTGTTGCCTCCGAAACGTCGTGATTTTTATTATTTTATTTTTATTAAGTTTAATTTCATTTTTTTACCTACGTGACTTTACCGAAAAAACTAAGAATATGAATCATTGCAGTCACGAAAGCTTCAAATCTAGAACTTTAGTTATAATAACACACACACAATGTTGTGCTTACAATGTACAAAGCTCCTCAGCCTTATGCAAACCACCAACTCAATAGAACTTGCATGTGTGCCCAGTTTGTCGTTTTGATAGACCACCAATTCCACCCCAAAAAAATATAAATTGCGCCCAACGATAAAGCAGCAAGCAGTGCCACAAACGCAACTGTCGACCGGTTTCGTTCTGATTAGGGTTCATCAGCACAGTGCAATCTTCAATGTTCGCTGCTGGCTTATGCCTCTGCGAGCTCCCTATATGGAGAGGACATTACACCTTTACTCTATGAGGGCCCCAGTAAGCACTTGCCTGAGCAGTCGCTCACTCGAGTCTGTCAACGAACGATGGCGCGCCGTGGACTCTGCGATCACCCCGCATGCCCCGGATGGGGGGTGGGGGTCGAGTGACCTTTTCGGATGATGAATCCTGCTGGGGCAGCTCGAGGCGGAGCGAGGCCAACGAGGACATGGCCTCATCTCACCAGTTCGACTCCAGCCCCGGCCAGCACGGCAGAGCGTGAATGCGCAAAATATCAACATTCTCACGTAGACCGATCCTCCCCCCATCTCCCCCTGTCCCCCTCGCTACTCTCCAGGATGGAAAGCGAGCAGCGGAAGCAACGGGGAAACGACTCTTTGTTCGTGTCGAGTGCTGGATGGCGCAACAGTTGCATTCGGCTGCACGACATACTCAACAAACTGAGCTGTAGTAATAGGTTTTTACCCTTTCAACTGGTACAAAAACTGACACCTTTATACAAGGCATCATGTTTGCAATAACCACAACACAAGCAGTCAAAATGCAAACAAAAAGAAACAACTCTGATTATGAAAGGACAGTGCATATCATTATCATCGTCAGAGTTGTTAATTTTTGTTTGCATTTTGACTGCTTGTGTTGTAGTTATTGCAAACAGGATGCTTTGTATAAAGGTGTCAGTTTTTGTACCAGTTGAAAGGGTAAAAACCTATTACTATATTTTGCCACTGGTAAAGGAGGTCTCATAGTGTAAACTGATCTGTTTTTGTTTACCAGGTAAGGGCCGACTGAGCTATAAAGCTCTTTTCAGAAGCGACCTCGCCGTAAATTATATCTCAACGAAATGGCTTATCGCGTGGGAATACCTAGGCTGCCAACAACTCTGAACCACGCGTTTCTAAATGTGGAGGGGGAAAACCCGGAGGACTCGGAGAAAAATCTCGGCGCGAATGTGCAGAACATGTAAACTCCAAATATACCAAGCGTCAAGGTGCGGGATCGATTCCACCACCTCCCGTATACCAGGCGAGGTAGTTAACATCTCGCCACCGTGGCACGGACACATTTATTATTTATTAAAGCTGTCGCAATGCTGTACTATTTCGTGAATGTAAACAAACTGAGTGCGATTCTTTGCTGATCCTCGTGGGGCCGGCTTCCTGTCCCTGAGCCCTGTGCCACCACTCCTGGGCCCTGGCTGGCTGGCCGCGTGACCACCGCATGTGGCTCCACTGGGAGTAGCTGCATCAGCCACGTGTGACGGGAACATATTAGGCGCTGCGTTGGCAACGTCACAGAGTGGAACACGGCCGACGTCCGGAATAGACGTCTCATTCGAGAACCAAACATCGCTTTGACATTCCTCCTCTCGAGGTGCTGGTGATGGAGCCATCAACCGCATCAGAACATCACCAGGCCGGATGCGCGACATCTCCTTCATAAATGGAACATTTGAAGTCACGGGTCACAGCCGTGCGATTGTGTCCATGCACCCCCAAACGATGGGCCACATCGTAAACCCATAGAAATACACAGAGACCCTTAGAGATGCATAGGGACACAGATATACAGAGACTTATACATTAAAGACAAGCCACAGTTGTGCAATTGCCGGCACAGAACCCAAACAATGGACCGTGTGGTAACCCACTGCAAAATCTATAGTCTTTGGTTCTTTCGGTGAAGTCACGTAGGTATAAAATAAAATACAGTAAAACCTTGGATTGCGAGTAACTTGGTCTGCGAGTGTTTTGCAAGACGAGCAAAAATGTTAAATAAATATTAATTTGATAAACGAGCGAGGTCTTGCAATACGAGTAGTACGTGTATACGCTTTGTCTGCCGAGCGTCACGTGATCACAACTGATATACGAGTGCTTTGGATTACAAACACGTTTCCGGAACGAATTATGCTCGCAATCCAAGGTTTTACTGTAAATTAAAATAAATTAAATTAAATAACCCACTGTATTCTGCGCTCGTTCAACGGGTGAGGGATCCCAAACCGACACGAAACTCTCTGCTGAAGCCCTCTAGAGGATCGTGCCCAAGCAGACCTCGGCATCGCCGTTTAGCTCCGGACCGTATTGCCGTGCGCAACGTTTATCAACATCGCGTGACATCGTGTTCCCAAGTTGTCCACGCTCATTGTGGATGTCACCTCGAAGCTCAGTGGCTCTGTCGAAAACTCTCCTGCATTGCACGCCTGCTGGCCTAGGACGAACAGGACGACGGTGCTTCTACTTCAGGAACTGCTCATGGTTTGGGGCAAAAATGCACAGGGGTCACGTACTTTTTGACGGAGGTACGTTGAACTTCTTTCGCGCCGTACGTAACCAACCGTGCTGATCGGAGGTGCGACAACAAACTGAACACGTGGTTTGCGCGTGTTTTTTGAAGACCCAGCATCGACTTAGGCCATGAGTCAGTTGCGGAAATTCCACGTTCCTATGGCGGTCGTGAATTGATCACATAGGGGTAAACATTATTGATCTTCCGCCAAGTGGGTACTAATTTTAACGACCATGGAGAGGTGATGGACTCAGTCGTGGTCGGGAATCACTGTAATGCGCTGCTCTTACAGGCTAATCTATATATGGTACATATATATACAAATATATATCCCAGCCAAATGTAACTTCTGAAATAATATCA